AAATAAAAGGAACACATATATACACACACACCCATACATACATATATACAAACAGTAACATATGATGTTGACCGAACACGTGATTTCATCAGGGGAAAAAAAAGAAACCTAGTGAGTGGTATGGATATATACGTGTCGAAGAATGCAGTTAATCAAAGAAAGTCGTATATATATATATATATATATATATAATACAAACATCGTATGTATAAGAGCAGAGTACAGCATAGGTCAGATTGTTTTAAGTTTTCCCTGAAAGTACAAACATTCTTTTCAAAGAAAATTCAATTAAGGCTTGGTGTATATCAGCGCACTTACAAGGTTTTACTAGAGATGTGTATATAATCTACTTACGAGTTGAATTTGATTGTAAAGAATTGATACGATAAATCTACAACCGATCGATCCATGAGGATGATGTTGTTGTTTTTTGTTAAATAAGAAAGTGATTTCATTTCATAAATGAGTAAGAAGTTTATAAGTATCAGCTTGTGACCAATCAAATCCCTACAAACAAGAAAACTTCACAATCACAATCTGAAGCTCATTAACATCTGGCTCCATAGAAGTAGTTCCCTGGAATGCTAGGGAGAAGTTGTAACCAGCGGGACCCAACAAGTCAGGCAAGAGGACAGTTGACTCGCCTGTGACATTCGCTGGTAGTTACGCCAAATATATATATGGAAATTCATGGGCCATTGGATCGGCTTCGTGGTTTAATGGTCTACGATCTCGCCTCGTAATCGAAAGGTCGTGGATTCGGACCCCGGTGGGTGCGTACTGATGGAGATTGTCAGACTGGGACGAAACACCTGTCCAGCAGTCTCCGATGGTTTTCCAATGGTATTTTAACTTATGTAAACTGGTGATCAATCCGGTATAAATTAAGGGTTCACGTAACTATTAACAGATTCCCAAGGATAACTGACTTACTGAGAAAATTACATTCATCTCTTTCTCTCTCTCTTATTAACCTGAATTTGTTTATCCATGCGGATTGGAACACACACATGGTGGTCAGTATATAATTTTCAAGCGACAGTAGAGCTCAGATATGGCGGCGTTTTAGTATGATTGTATATCTTCATAATCTATTTCTATCATTGCTAATAAATACACCTTTAAGCAGCAATGTGAGTTATATTCTCTCTTCGTTATTTGAGGTGTGTTAACAACAGCCCAGTCAAAAGATTAAGTGGGCCAGGTTTAAGAGTCAGTAGGTAGTGTATGTAATTAAAGCTCAAGTCTAGCAGGGTAGACAGCCACACACACACACACACACACAACAGTCGTGAGAGTTATTTCTAGTTGAAGCCGAATCTCAGAAACGAGCTCGAAGTCGTTTTCAAGCAGAGAAACTAACTGGCTATTATGAAGCATAAAAAAATACAAACAACGGTACACAAACAAATTAGTAGATAGGGATAGGTTCCCCGAACAATCTCAGCATAAACTGATGCTAGATCAAGGTATAAAGCAACAGCAATGAGTAAGTTGAACCGAAATGATGAATTATTCAACATCCAATTAATGTAAATCCCTTATTGTTTTCAACAGTTTGTTTTTAGAGATCTAATTCGTTTCAAGTGTGATCACGGAGTAGTATCAGTTAAAGAACCAGTTTCCAGTTAAAGAACCAGTTTCTTCCTGGTGCTTGAGACTCTTTGACGGTACGAGCCCAAAGCCAGCGCTTCAATCCAGGACCTTCCGGTTACACAGCAAGTTCCACAGACAATCCAGCCACTGGGATTGACTCAATGGTCAGCCCATGAATTCTAACTTCTATCACTTCATGATTTTTAGCGCGACCACCAGCCAATGAAATCGGTGACGAGTATTTGACACCTCACTCCCTATCGGATGGCCCCTCCTTTTCACGACTTCTCATTAGAAATTAGTGGTTCTCTAATAGGCATCAATCCGCGATCAAACTTTTATTATTGTTGAGATGAGTTAATTAGGCCTGAGTCAATTCAAAGAGGTTGTGCTAACAAATAGTTTCACAGTGGTCGACATAAACGTGTCCTATGGATAGGTATACCAAGCAGGGTGTGACAAACTATACAGGCTCTGCAAAACTTTATAGTCTGCAAGGAGTAACTGAACACCATTAACGATTACATTTCTAAACACATTCTGCAAAGTTACAATGAATTTCTCTCTCCCCCTCCTTTCTCGTTATAACATAACCAAAAGCAATACGTTTAAGACTTCTCTAACTATCAAGTATTCGGATTGGTAACAGGATTGATTGCACAAGCTGACATCAGATAGAAAACTATTGAAAAACCACCGCGGAGTACTTGGAAAACAGTTTCGTCCTTTTTTGATTGATCGAAAGAAATTTAAAATCATTTAAAACATACAAAAATAAAACCTCTTCAGATTACATTTCACTGAAGCAATAAGACCTCCTCAAGTGCACAAGTGCAACACTACACTTCATTAAAAGGAAACATTAAGACATGAAGAAAAGAATAATAACATGGAGAATAATGAAGATTTTTATTAGTTCCGTGAGTGTGTGAATGAGTCCATGAAAAAAATGTAACTTATATACTGTATGTGGAGGCGAAATCTTAACAATCATCAAAGTCGAATGTATTTCATGAAGGTTACACTTACAACCCAAATTGATGACTACAAACAGTCCCCTATATTTAGGTTGAATCGATTTGCTTATCGATCCACTCCTCTTAGTATTATTTAACACATACATAGAACATTTACTTTACCACATCCACATTCGAGTAATTTTTCAATCGGTGATGAACACGTAACAAGCTGAAGTAATTCTCAAAAATATAGAATTTCAATCAAAATGCTCAAAAAAATCTTGTATTGATTTTCGCAACAAGCACGGGGATTATTTTCATTGGACACTAGTTGGAGTAACTAGTGTCTGATCAAAGTATTCAATACACTGCTACAGGAGATTAGTCGTTAGACTGAATAGCTCAGTGGCACAGCGGTTAGGACTCTCGCCGATCATGCACATGGTCCGGGGTTCGACCCCCTGCCGACGCACACCTGATATCTATGGTCGGCCTGCAAAATTTGGGCTACCAATATCACATGCTGAAAATTCCATACTTGTACCAAAAATACTGTGTGGCATCAAGCTATAATCAAAAATCAAAAAATCAGTGGTGGTGACACAGGTTCGAATCTTAGAAGGAGCAAGAAGATTGTTCCTTGAAGATTGCAGATACGCCTGATTGACTGACTGACTGGTGAGTGCCAACAAATACGAAATCTAAGTCAAGCAAAGCTTTCTGTGGCCGATTACCTTCAACTATCTAACACTAGAATTATATTTGAAATAACTCGATGAACACATTCAATCCAACTTGGGAAACAAATATGATTACAGGTAATTTGTAACAACTATAAAGTTGGAGATTTTATGAGTATGTAATTTTAATATATTTGAGATTATGACAAAACAGATTAGTTAACAAATCAGTTAGAAAGTTGTTTGTATACTTATCCACTACAGACAAACAAAATTAAAACGTTATTTCAAAACGTGAAAGAAGATACTTCAAACGATACCTTTTTACTGCAGTAATCAAGAGAAAGTCGAAGATATTGAGCATCACATTACTAAGGAAAAATGCATGGAAGCAAATGTCTATAGACGTTATTAGGCAGGGAGAAAAGATTCGACAAGAAATGACTCATGACGAATACCTGGAACATGAACTAGATACATATATGAACAAAATAAACAGATGCTGAGTATACTCTACAATACACAGAAAAAAGGACATAAGAAAAGAATTAGAAAATACGCTTTTATGATGTACTCTACTGGTAAATACTTACTACTTTACTTTACTTCGGCTATCTCCTACGGGAGGATGAGCCGGCTTCATGAACATCTGGAATAAGAGAGTTCATGAAGTTTCATGGGAATTTGGTACGAGTGATGTCCCCAGAATCGCTCGACCTTTTGTTTGAGAGTGCAGCTCTAGCCTTTACACAACCAAGTATGACCTACAAGGCAGTAGGAGTGGATTAGGGAGTCCACTATCCATTGGCAGCCGGTGACTGGAGTTCGGTTCATACGCCTTTTTGAATGGGGCCAGACATCCAGGACATCCAACAAGCCCTTTGTCCATACGTCTTCCGGTGAGCTCCAGTGAGCTTCATACGTCAGTCGTTGGAGGTTTGGAATCAGGGTTTAGCCATCTCCCCTAGACTGTCATCCAATGGACAGTCAACCCGGTGAAGAGCCCCGGGCATCCGCTTTCGCCCTCTCACTTTGGTGAAAAACACCTCCGCCACGTGAAGGCAGTGAGTAGGACTTCCTCAGGAGAGGCTATGTAAGACGCCCGGTCATATGGGAGCATTTCAAGAGGTGTGCGGAGGGGTGGCTAACCCGCAGCGCAAGGCACCCACCCCCACCATCCTGAGGCTGTAAGATGATAACCTGCAGAGCTGAAAGAGACCTTTCAATACAAGCAGGTAGTAAATATGACAGAAAGTAAACAAAGACAAACATCAAGAAACAGTAACTCAGTAAAGCAGCTGTCAAAACAGCTTGAAATTAAACTTGAACCACTATAAGAAGACAATCTCTGTTGTGCATCTGTTTTTCAGTGGTAGAACGCTCACCAAACACGTCTCACGCGGTCGGAAGTTCTATCCCCGGCCGATCCACTTCTAAACCTAGCTAAGCCGGTGTTAAGTAAGGCTGGTAAACAGGGGAAGGTGGGGCGTGAGGCTAACAATCCCATCCCATAAAAAAAGAATGAAACCACTGCTACTGAAACTTTAAAGCGAGAGCTTTGAAGTCCCACTAGGAACGTAAAGGAATAAATTTTTTCAATTTCTCGTAAGAGGAAGTTGATACTTCGAACCATTTCCTCCTATATGACAACCGAGAAATACTGATAAATAGCCAGTAAAAAAAGGCATTATTTAGGTAAAGAGGAAATAAATAAATAGCATATAGAGAACGAAATCTCTTCCCACACACACACATACACACTCACCTGAAAGTGAGGAGATGATACACATCTGGCTAATTGTGTAAAAAGTGGACGAATAATTTTACGAAATTCTGATGGATCAACAACATCAAGAATTTCTTCCAATTCATTTAAAAACATCACCTCCTTGGGGCTATGCGTTTTAGGCCAAAATTTTAACAAACTTAGGACAACCTACAAAAAAAAAAAAGGTAAAAGTAACAAGAGAGATCATTTAAAAAAAAAGAGAGATTGAATATTTTAGCGACAAAAATTGTTAGGTGTAAATTGAATTATCAATTATGGCCTTATTGTGATATTCATCCTAAAAAATCTTATCAAATCATACAAGAGTGTGAAGACGATGATATTTTCATAGTTAATTCTTCTGTAACGGCAGAAGACGAAAGTATTAGGCAACAGAATTGTTTCTCAGACCTACAGAAGGTCAAATACTCGCCACCGATGACATTGGCTAGTGGTCGCGCTATTCGGTGAATTAGTAGAAGTTAGAATCCATGGTCTGACCATTGGATCGGGTTTCAGTGGCTTAATGGTCTACTAGCTCGTCTTGTAACCGGAAGGTCGCGGATTCCAAACCCGGTAGCTTCATACTGCCAATGAATCCTAAGTACTATGATGAAACAGTCAGCTGTCCAGTACACCAAGATGGTTTTCCAATGGTTCTGTAACCGATGTCATTATTATTATTATTATTGTTCCCTTGGGTTCCTAGTGGAACATAGGGCTTCAACTACACTTCTCCACTTGTTTCTGTCTTCTGCTGTACTTTTCACCTGCATCCATGTTAGTCCATACTGTTTCAACTCCTCTTCACACGATCTCCTCCATGTCACCCTTGGACGTCTCACTCGCCGCTTCCCTTTCAGGTTCCACTCGAGGGCCTGACGCGCGATGTCACCCAGCGGCATCCTCAGCTCACCGAGTGTCCAATCCACCTCCACTTTCTCCTGCATATTTGTTGAGCGACTGGTTCTTGTTTTGTTTGTTCCCATAGTTTCTTGTTGGTGATTCTTTCCGGCCATCAGATCTTGAGTATAGAACGAAGACAGTTGTTGATAAAGGTCTGCAGCCTGTTGGAAATATTCTTGGTGACCAGCCAAGGTAACCGATGTCCGCTTATGATGAAATCCTGTAACCGATCAAATATCCGCAAAACAACACTTGATTATTGGAGAAAATTACATACAATAGGGATGAAATAAGACAATCTTATATTGCAGAAAATACTCGTACCGCATTCATTCAATTTGGACCTTCCCGTCGATTCGTTGGACCGAAGCGCTCGGCCTCGGTTGACATATTATCTCTCTGTGCGGGTGTTTCGACGATGTCTGAAGATTTAACCTGAATTAATTTGATGGATGTGCGTCGGTGGTTAGGACGCTCGCCGACCATGCACATGGTCCGGAGTTCGATCACCGGTCGACGCAATCCTTTACCGCGCTAAGCCAGAAATAATGCTGGTGAAGAGGAAAGGTTGGGCGTGAGGCTAGCAACCCCATCCTGTAAAAGTAAACACTGCTACAGAAACTTCAGGCCTCTAGCTTGAAGCCCTATGTTCCACTCGGAACGTGAAGGAATAAAAAAATTTGATGAATGGTGACTAGCAGTGGAATCCACCAAAAATACTCGTACTCTGTTTCTTTTGTCTTCATGCATTCAAATATTGGTTCACAGTTCCCTTCATTTCTCTTGTATGCACTACAGACCTTAATTCTCGGAGAACACACGTTATAGAATAAACTACTCACAAATTCTTATCAGTAGCACACGTCATACTCATACATTAACTTATTGATGAAGCGACTTTAACAGTCGAAGCAACACGCTCTCTGTCGCATTTTTCCTGAATATTGTGTCTCCATAGTTAGACGTTTTATGAGTATTTGGGCTTATTTCATGTATCAAAAAGGCACCAAGATTTAATTCCCTCAGACATTTGAAAATATTAATTTAAACATTTTATAGACAGCAAAATGAGAAATGAAATGTATAGTTTTATAAAACTCCCCCCCCCCAACTTCTGATAGACCAATGTATAGTACTGTAAGAGAAATTCCTAAACGCGCTTTGCTGAACTGTCCCGAACTAAGATGAAACACTCATTGGTAACAACTTGGTTTGTAACAACTCTCTAACGCAAACGGAGTAGGACGCATAAAAAAGGGCATATAATTATCATTGTACCCAGCAGGCGACCACACAGTCACAGGATAACCTCACAAAAATGATCAGCGCTGAGCAACATAAAGTTATGCGAAGACTATCAAGTGTCTAACGACTTCATAACTCTTGTTTTTATTCTGACCTGTTGACTGCAAATAACTTAAGATGATAGAAATCTGCGTACCAACCTCTAAACACTAGTTTGAAGAAGACTCTACCTATTTCCTCTCAAAAAACAGTACGACTGCACTGGATGCGGGGGGGGGGCGCAGACGTTTGCTCATTAAGAATCTAAAGAATATCCTCTCACAAAGAAAGACCATGTTATAGATCATATACTAGCCATTTGGCTAGGCTGAAGTAGGCGACGTTGGGCCACGCTATTGCCTGAAATAATACATTAACACGTGCAAGATAAACTAATTATTCCAAAAGAAAAGAAAAAAACATTTGATGACTAACTTGTTGAGTAAGTGTTGGATCCTTCTCTAGAAATTGTATAACACAATAGGCTAATTGAGCATGATATAAACTGACTGATTTCACTTTATGCAAAGGTAAGAGTACACGTATGAGGAATACTTTGTGTTCTTCTTTCAATGGTAATGCAAATCCATTGATGATACTACAAAAAAAGGAGACATTAAGGGGAACAAAATCAGAAGAGAAACAATCAAAAACAGCAAGAATAAAACTGTAAAATTTTTTAATTTTTATTTTGATTACAGCTTGATGCCACACCGTATTTTCAGTACAAGTATGGAATTTTCAGCATGGATATCGGTAGCCCAAATTTCGCAGGCCGACCATAGATATCGGGGATCGAACCCCGGACCATGTGCATGGTCGGTGAGAGTCCTAACCACTGTGCCATCGACGCTGTGAAATACATGTACTGTGCGACTCACTGATAGACAGTTATTCAAAAGGCGAAAACCATAAGAAACAGATGGATATCCATCAAGACTCGTCCACAAGAATATGGCACCATAAATTTAGAGGAATAAAACATGACATTGGTTAGGGGTCGCGCTATGTCGTGAATTGGCAGAAGTTAGAATTCATGGGCCATTGGATCGGGTCCCAGTGGCTTAATGGTATACGAGCTCGCCTTGTAACCAGAAGGTCCTGGGTTCGAATCCCGGTGGGTGCGTACCGATGAAGAGCCCCAAGCTAGGACGAAACAGCTGTCCAGTACTCCCAGGTTCTCTAACTAATGTCAGCTCATGATGAAATCCTGAATGAAACATTACTTATTTCAAAAAAGAAACTTTACATTGACTTGAATTTCGAAGAAGACTCAGCTCGCAATATCCTTAAGAAAACAAATTCAACATTTTTGAGAAAAACATTCATCACAGTAACACTAAGGGTAGTGTTCTCCAGTCGTCCACTGACCTGGAGAAGTCTTAATGACAAGATCTCACACTTGACCAATTCTATGTGTGCATATATATCAGTTTACTTATTGCTGTGGCGCTAGGTACATTGGTAGTTTAGCGCGTATTCTGGTTCCAGAAAGGTAGTAGTGGTTCTATAAGGAGCGCGATAATCGAATACCTCATTAATAACACCTGCCATTCCACCTCAACAAACACCTCCTTCTTCAAAGTAATCTACAAAATGAAGAATAACTTGCCAAAGGCAATACGTTTGCATTGCTGAAGCTCTAGCTATATTCAGATAGAAACATCAGAGCTATGCACTTAAAAGGAAATTTTGAAACCAATTCTACTACCATGGTAACAACCGTGTTGATTTCTTTACTACTTATTTTTATTTCATCACACCTTTTATGAAGTATTTTGATGACGTAAACAATAACCCTAACTAATTTTTATTCTTGCCTGACAAACCTAATGTACACAGACAATAACAGCAACAACAAAACATAATTATACATAATTGCGATTGTACAGCTATGTGAATGAATTCCGTGAAAAGGGGCCCTCCGCTGAACTACGTCTTCGATTTTCTTTTTTTCATGAATGACCAAGCATAGGGATTATTCATGAAACCGTAATTTTAGGAGCCTATACGCACTAAAACCAATCACCTAGTAACAATACACATGAAAAGCAAAAACGATAATACAGTGAGATATATCTAAGATGTGCATTTTATTTTAATTCCTATCCATGAAATTGACGGGATGTCTTCACATGACCTTCTCCAAGTCACCTTTGCACTGACGACCAATTCGCCGCTTCTCCTTCGGGTTCCACTCGAGCAATGGCTTGTCTAGTGATGTCACTTGATGGTTTCCTCAGAGTATGACCAATCAATCCACCTCCATTTCTTCCTGCCTATTTCTTTCACAATCGGTTCCTGCTCAGTTGGTTCGCTCCCAGAGATCCCTGTTGCTGATCTTTTCTGGCCATCTGATCTTGAGTATTGAGCGAAGACAACTGTTAATGGAGGTCTGTAGTTTGTTTGAGATGCTCTTTATGACGCGCCACGTCTCTGATCCGCATAGTATCACTGAATTCACATTAGAGTTGAAAATCCGGATCTTAGTTTTGATGCTGAGTGCTGATTCATTGCGTAATCTCATCAATAATCTAAGTGACACGCGTATCTTGAGAAATTGTATGTGGTCTTACATGAATTCGTGCACCAAGGTTTGTGATTTTTTTCGAAACTCATGAGCCGGATTATCAGAAGTCAAAAACTGCATATCATAACGTACATATGTGTGTCGAAGTGCTATGAAGACTGAACTTGCATCAAAAATCTAGTTTTTGCAAGAGGAAAGATTGTAATCTATAAAACTTTTAGTCAGCTTATGTTTGAGCAGCCTTCAATACTCGTTATGTTCGGAAGGAACCAGAGGAAATTAATCTTCTTGCGTTTATCACTTCGAATGAAACAGCAGAAATACACTGGTATTCAATACGCTTTGGTTTAAGGCTACCAATAACCTTTAACAATGATTGTACAGATGACTGGATATTATGTCAGCCTTCACATCAGAATAAAACGCCTAGCTATTTTTACCACTGCCAACAATACTGATCATGTAAAAAAAAACAACCTGAAAATGTTCACCGAAGTTTAAATCCATAAGCTGCTTAGTGAAAGGCGAGTAAGGGCAACTTCAGAATCACTGTGTGGAATACTTCACATCGCGATGCCACCACCACCCGTGAATCGGACATTCAGGTAGGATTTCAAACTTTCGAATGTCAAGTTTGAAAAAGTTGACAAAGGTATAAAAACAGGCTGTACAAGATGACTAAGTTCCAATAAATATTTTTTTTGAATTGTGCAACTACTACTAGACAAAGTTTTAACTATCAGTAATATACACAAGAGAAACTGATCAAAATATTAGTAGACTAACCTGCCTAATATCTCTAACAATTCTGCGATACCATTATGCGTTTCTGTTTCATAAATAAATCTAGTGAAACAAAAGAAAGAAAGAAAGACAGTTAGTTAATAAAAACAAAATTGAATAACGAAAATTCTGAAGTCCGGCTGCCAAATTCTACCTAGTAATGTTCTCATGGATTTCCAGTGGAACACAGGGCTTCAACAACACTTTTCTCCCCTTTCCTCAATCTCTTCCATGTGACCCTCGAACGACCCGGTCCTCGTTTCCCATCCGAATTCCACTATAGAGAAATGGCCTGGTGTGCGATGCTAATCGATGGTATCCTCAGTGTGTATCCAGTTCATTAGCAGAGTCTCTTGTTGCTAATCCTTTCTAGCTGGCCAGAAGATTGCTTCTTGTTGTTGCTGCTGGTTGGTTATCTTCAGCACCTCCGTCTTCTCTATGTTCACTTGAAGTCCTGTCTTCACTGCCTGCCTCTTCAGCTAGTTCCTTGGTTTTTGCCTGTAAGTCTCCGATTTTATATGACCACGTCTTCTAGAGTCTTCTTATCTATCCAACGTATTTCTGTCTCCTCGCTCCCCCCCCCCCCACGCGCAGTCTGAAGCACAATCCAGTTCAACACAATTAAGACTATTGTCGGTGATAACAGACAGCCCTGTTTTACTCCTGTATTCACTTCAAATGTCCAGCGGAGTTTTCCACTGTGGATCGCCTGACACGTGGCACTGTCATGTAGCTGTTCAATGACGTTGATCAAGACTTGGGCACTGCATGCTGTAGTTTTGAAGTAGTTTCCAAATTACTTCTCGGTCAACGCTGTTTGCTGAAGGCCTTTTCAAAGTCGATGAAGTTGAGGTAGAGGTTTGGCTGCCATTCTATGCTTTGTTCGATGATAATGGGTAGTATTGAAATTTGATCCACACATGATTTGCCTTTTTTTAAATCTAGGTTGTGTCAGCGGGCAGAGTTCTGCATCCAGTGAATGCTTTACTCTCTCCAGGATTACGCGACTTAATGTTTTACTTGACATGGACAAGGGCGTCATTCCACGCTATTTCTTACCTTTTTTCCAATGAGTAGGTTCATGAAACTTCTAAATTTAGATTCTCAAGTATTACAAAACTATTTTATGTAACTGTACACAAGCAATGAAATTAAGACGAGCTGCGCATGCCTAACCATCGCCTCCCCCTCGCGACGGGCATTACTAGATGATATAGGTGCAGGTTGGAAAAGAGTAAGTGGTGGCCAAACAAAAACATGGCATCAATCCATGAAATCCTTCTTTGACAGTTAAACTGAGTCAGGTAGGGAGATGCAAACTTCCGGGTTGGGGCCCGCCCTCAGGACTCTAAGAATCAATGGCTGGAGACAGACAATAGGTGACATGGCTGAAAATCGTTGTCAATGGCTTACGCAGATGTATTCAGTCTCTGTAATCTTTCATATTCCTTTCTACCATTACTCATTCTGTTTTACTCTTATACTTGTCAAAACTCTATTGATTCTCTTCACTCATCTTCGTGTCTACCTTTGTGTGCTATTTGGAACGTGGCAACTCAAATATATGCACTTCGGTGCCAAGTTCTATGTTGAATCCAGCCAGCCAGCAATGAAATTAAGAACCGGTCTGAAAAAATTATGCATGATTTAAATGACATTGGACTACATACGATACAAATAATCAAACACATGAAATGACGTGAAAGTCACAAAAGATCATCGTCAAAGAAGCGGAACAGTGATCCACCGGTTTACGCGCTCCTAGACTGTCCACTACTGCTTCACGGAACCAAACCACAACCCACCAACCAAAGTTAGAGCAGCTAGGCAGTATTATCAGTAATGGGCACAATCGGTGTGGGTCAAGCCAACTGAGTGGAACTATCACTTTGTCATACCACGTGAGGGACTTTAAAAGTCTTACAAAAATACAATGACTTTTAGTTACTATACTCTTCATCATGAAGTGAAAAATTGGCATTAAAAAAACCTAGAAAAAAATGCCCCAGATGCATGAATAATTAAACGAAGCTGTCTAGAATCCAAGAACTCGGTAGTTAAGCGGTAGAACAACCACCAACCACAGCACATGTGGTCCGGATTTAAATCCCCGGCCAACAATGTACTCCTAGACCTCGCCAAGCCGGTAAAGAGAGAAGGTTGGGCGTGAAACTACCAATCCCAGCCCGCCCCAAGCTTGAAGCCTTTTGTTCCACTCGGCACATAAAATAATCAAATAAATAAATAAAAAACCTTGAATTCATATTAGGATGCAAAGTGAATAAACGTGTAACCTGGAAATCAATACTCATGAGCTATAAATCAACAAAAGTATCAAACTATCGATTCCCAAGAAATTTAACTAGGGCAAAAGTGATATATTGTCCTTCAAACATCATACACAGATATTCGTAATACATTACTGTGTGTTACAACAAACAAAATCATATATGGAGCTGCAAGCACACTGGTTTAGGCATTCATTCCGACTACCAAACACTGAGGTTCATGAGGTTTGAACAACAGTTCGCCGCCTACCAAGGGGCTTGGTAGAGGCAAGCTAATATCATCAGTATTCATACAACAGCCGTGGATGATCATTGCCAACTAAATAAAAGTCTAATCTGATACAATCCAACTAATCTATAAATTACCGACAAATGAGTAATGCCCCCCGACTAATCTACCAGTTAAAGACAGCCATAGTGGCATGAAAACAAAGTTGAATATTATTATGATTACTATGAAAATTACCAACAACAAAATGGAAGAGATTTCGCTTACTTGTAAAATATATTACCAAACTGTTTACGTATAAATGCACGTAATCCAAGAAATTTGCCATAAACACGATGAAGAATTGTTTTGACAAGATCACGTTCACGCGGATCTTCACTATCGAATAATTCTAAGAACTAGTAGCAATAAAAAACATGATAAGAAAAATATTATATATTAAAAGTCGATTATTATCATTATTATTTATTCATTCGAACATTGACATCGCTCTGTCTACAATGCGGCGTACGTGAACACGATGACTGACGCCAATAAAAGCGCCTACAACCATAACGAAATCAACGTTCAACAGCTTATCACATTAACGGCTATCAGGATACATATATAACTCGTCTACGGAGAACTCACAAAGTTCGATCCAAACATGCCGCCTACAAGGCCTATAATAGCCTAGCATATATTAATCCTTCACCTCAGAGAACACAACAACACAAAATACAGTCATTCCAGCCACCGATCCTGTCCAGTGTTTCGCGGGTTAACCATTCCATTTTAGATATCCTAAAAGTAACATGGCTGCTATCCGTTGAGAAAACACTGTAACTAAGAAGGTTGAGTGACAGATTGATTTCAACATACAACTATGCAAAGATGTGCACAAGTTCAACTTGTCTCTCTCTCCATGTACCACAAAAAGTAAGACAGGAGAATAAAGTGAGATTCAGAAGACAGATAATGAACACAAATGTGAGCGACGGTAAAAGACTAGTAGGAATATGCAAGACGAACAATAGAGTTCTAATGCATGTGACAAATCATCTCACAAAGAGTGAATGCATTTGCACCAGCCATCACTGAAAACGATTTGCAGCCATATCACCAATTGTCTGTCTCTAGTCTTCATTGTGCGTCGGTGGCACAGTGGTTAGGACTCCCGCCGACCATGCACATGGTCCGGGGTTCGATCCGCTGCCGACGCACACCCGATATCTATGGTCGGCCTGCAAAATTTGTGCTACCGATATCCATGCTGAAAATTCCATACTTCTACCAAAAGTACTGTGTGGAATCAAGCTGTAATAAAAAAAGTGTCAAACGAAGATTCTGTAACCAAGCTGAGATTTCGTCAGCGATCGACCCTTTGGGGCTGGCTGATGCGACTTCCCACCGAAATAAATTAAGTGGTCAACACGCTCAGCAACCACTTCACTTCTGCCTATCTTCAAGCTAGAAATGATTCGATGTAGTCCAGTCGTCTAGCATCATCTTCTATACAACAGGAGCGAATCACATGCTAAACATTCGAAAACTGCCTCTCCTCAATGTGTTTAGAAGACTGAGCGTTTTGTCAGTGTCTTCGCCTAGGAGGGAGGACTATATCATCGGCATATCCTAAGTCAACAATATTATTCCCTGATAACAGATTATTCTCTGAGTCACAGGACTTGCCTGACTGAAACTACTGGTTGTCACTACTTCAGACGAGAACTCTTTGTAGACTCATTCACAGCTGTGTGAGTTCGAGTAGAATGCTTTGATCAATGCATCGTGTTCTGTCGGCATTCCCTTCATGGGTAAACATTGACATCGTACCTATAGATCGATGGAGTGGTAGTGAAAAGAATTACACTACAGAGTACCACTCATTAGTAGCTCTTAGATAGTCCCAAAAAACTAAATACGGGTATTTGTGACTATTGAAACACACAGTTCGCACAAGTATCAGTTAACACAACTGTGGCACCAAGTGCACCACCACCAATCAGACAGACTGGAAATGTCTTAAAGAATACAGAACGTACTCAACGGTGGTCACATTTGCCTTCGCAATAATAACAATGGAGCTACAAAATGCAGGGAAAGATTCGGACTGATAATCACAGCTCCAAAAATCAGAACGCTCTAATTGCTCACGATTTTATACGAAATCCTCAATAAACGTTCATAATTATTTTCAATACACACATGATGCATGATCAAGCTTTACCAGTTCTGTTTTCTTTTACAACAAAAAAGATTGAAAGTTTTATAATCGGATCGAAGGATTATGCAAATTATTAAAATTGTCATCAGAAAACTCAATGAATAAAGAGAGATCAAGAGAGACAAAAAGAAGAAGAAGAAGATTAATCTTTTGACCTGCAGTGAACTCTGATCAATTAAAAAAAAAGAGCTTAAAAAAAGAGAAAGAGAAAACGAAGACACATATACATAAACATGATTACTGATAGATCGATAAAAAAGGGCGGTGTACAAGTTCACAAGTGAACTTGCTAACTGATATTTTTCTTTAATTCAATCATCTTCTTGAGTATATATCTAATTAGTAGGAAGTTTACAAGGCTAACAACTTGGAATGGATGGAATGTGTTTCAGTGTACAACTTGGAAGCCAATTCCAAGTACTAACACACACACACACACACAAACAATCAATATATTTCTTACTAGAATCATACTAATAAACTTCCACAGGCTGTAACTCCTGATAATTACTACCGTCCGCGTCACTCTTCATAAGTCAATTTAATAAAAACATACATACTGAGCAAGATAAATAAAATAACTATAAAGAAGGCACTGCTAACTCTTACTGTTCAAAATTAATAATGGTGATACACACTGCTTAGAATCTTAAAATGCGCTTTAATTTTACTGAACTCATAACTAATATCTTCTTCTAAAATACCGTGTTATTACTTTTACATTATCCATTGATTGAGAACTAGGTGTTCCCTGCTAATGAGCCGACAATAGTGATCGTCCGCAAAAGTTCTGTTCAGATATTCATCCTATTTCTAGTTAGTACTAACTTCAAATGCACACAGATATATTGCCCAACCTAGAGACTACCAAATTACGCCATCTCTGGCTTAGTAGACGTGATATCCGGCCGGCCAGTTATCGATCAAAGGACTTGTGCATTGCACAGCAGTTGTTCGCCCCGTCCTCCTGTGTGACTAGCTGTGAACGAGACATGGCCATTCATGGTGGAAGACATGGAAAGCCTGACTGTCTAGCTATCTCTCATCATAGGTGTCCGCCTTCTCTCTCCAGTGTTGGGTGGTGTCGGGTGCTATAATAGGGTGAGTAATACTGAGGTTAGACTTTGGTCGACTGGTAGTTGAAAAGGCAGGGGGAAATCAATCGACGAGGTTGTGGAGCAGGTGCATGGATTGAGTGAGATGGTTAGGATATGGTGTTATGCATGTATCCCTAACCATCGATCACCTTCGTCGACTGACAGGCAATGTTAACTGACATAGGATTGATGAGGTTGGAAAAGAGTTAGCATTGGTGGTGAAACCGAAACATTGCTTCGTCAGTCAGTTTAAGCCAGTTAGACACGTAGGAAGGTGTAGACTACTTGTCTGAATGGCTGGTTGGGATCTTTGGAGTGATGGTAAGAACCAATGAAGGCTAGACACAGACGATTGGTGTTATGGCTGCAAATCGTTCTCAGTGATGGCTGGCGCTGATGCATTCACTCTTTCTGAGATGATTTGTCATATCCAATAGAACTCTATTGTTCTTCTTGCATACTACTACTAGTCTTTTTCCGTCACTCACACTTGTGTCTATTATCTGTCTTCTGAATCTCACTTTACTCTTGTCTTACTTTTTGTGGTACATAGAGAGAGAGTGTGTGACAAGTTGAACTTTTACATATCTGTGGAAAGTTGTATGTCGCAATCATTCTGTCAGTCAATCAGAAAACTAGGCAGTAACCATTGGCATGAGCATCTAGTCTTTTGTTTGATACACACTGAATTCTATCAGTCAAGTTTGTAATGTGACCATCATGCTTGGTGGCTCGCCATCGCGGTGCACTGTGAATTGTTGACATTATTTGGTTGGAGGCGATCAGCCACAGGATGTCCTACCTGTCGTAGGTTTTATGCTTGTTGGCACTCACCAGTCAACAAGGCGTATCTGCGACCTTCAAGAAAGTCATGTCTATTCTGAGACTCGAACCCGCGTCACCACCTAGTGGTGCCTTTAGAGACATTACCACTGACCTAGCTGTTTGGACTCACTTTTGCCCTCTTGTATGACTGTATTGGATACTTTGGCTGGACACTGGTTGATACCCGCCTAGTGAGGATTTAATGGACCTTGGAGAGAGCAAAGAGAGTGAAGGCATCTGTGTTATTGAAAACAAGTTTGAGCCATGTCAACAACAACATCAAAGAACTGGCTTTTAACATAATTGAAGAGCCCTACTAGATAGCTCATCCCCCCCACACATAGGTTCAGAACAACAGCCATAGACTTCATAGGTTAGTACTATGTGTTTGTCTGGCCACTGTGCGCCTAACTTCACATTATTACTCATCAGATTATACCAATTAATACGACAGACAAAACACGAAGAACATGTAAGCTGACAGACAACCAGCCTCTTCAAATACTCCCCCTTTCAACAGCCATGTCTCACAGGCATAAAGAAGGATGGAGCCAACTGATGCCTCCAATGCCAAACAACAAAAAATTAGACAGACAAATATTCTCGTCATCTTTTAAAATTTCAATAATGACAGTATATATAATATTAACATAATACATTCACTATAGTGAAATAGACAAGTTGTCTTATAAAATGCGACTTTACCTGTAATACAAATTTAGTATCGAAATAACGTTTAGCAACATTTGGCTGGAAATTAGGCGATTCAATGAAACGAAGAAGGAATTCATATACCAACTAATAATATAAACAAAAAAATATATCAAAAATAAACAAGCACAATAAAACATATTGATTTAGTTTAATAGTATACAGATAAAATTATGATGGGTAATGAGGATGCATATAATAATAATAATAAAGAAATACTTTCAGGTGCACAAATTACAAACTACTTATAAAGATTTCAGTACTAGTATACACTGATTCTCGGAGGTAAAAGTAAAAGCTTGAGCTCAGTTATCCTAAACAGAATTCTAATGCACTACAGACTGTTATCTTATTATTATTATTTTATTTTATTCCTTTACGTTCCAAGTGGAACATAGGGCTTCAAGGTTTCTGTAGCAATGTTTTATTTTTAATGGGTACGGCTGCTAGCTTCACACCCAACCTTCCCTCTCGATCAGATCTAATACCGGCTAGGCGAGAGTTACGAGTGTGTCGACCGAGGACCTTATGTGTGGTGGGCAAGAATTGTACCACTGCACCACTGATGTACACTGCAGACTATAAGCCACAGTTATTGATACTGCTTAATTGGTTGTCCCGTATGAAGTAGAAGGAGCGGGTATCCTACTCCCTACCCCCGCAGACCTATTGGTTAAAAGTCGAGTACTTATGAAGCCAATAAACCCAAACCTCCTTCAATGAAATTTCTCATTCTTTTTAATACCAACAGAAGTGAATGATAGAAGTGTCTCAACGCGTAGATTTCTCTCTGTTGAATTATGGCTAATCAACTTATACACTTGATTTTGAAGCAATCATTTAAGGATAAAGAACTCAAAACTATGTCATAAGGTATGTGCAGAGGATACAATTCATCAATACATGTGTAGAATTAGGACACTCTGGTAGTATGTAATTCCGTATTAATTAGTATGACTAGTAGTTTAATGTGTAGAGCTGAGTGTAGTAGTTGCCAAGATGCATTCTACAGTACACCTTTTCTACATCGATCAAAAAAGTCCTTGCATCCTCTAATCTTTAATCTTTGAGTTTTGAGTAGAAAATAGGGCTATTACGGTGGCCAGATTAAAACTTGTTCATTTTGTTTCAATCTGTTAAAATATGAGCACTGATTGTATTTTATACTCTCCCAGGTATTTGAAATATCTACAACTTACTGATTTACAAGTTGCCATTAAACTTCAGAAAGAAGGAAAAAGTCGTGGGTAGCAATGTATTCCAATACATTGAAATAACATTGTTTTTGAGATTTTTTAGTACAGATTACCAGTACCTGAGAAATAAAACTAACTAACTAACTACTTGCAGTCTTCAATATTCAGTTATGTCCTCAGAGGGTCGCAAAATAGTGGCTTTCAGATCAACGTTGAGTGTTTCGCGGAGACAAAGATAAATTTATGCTTCAGGTCAGACAACACATTGGGTCGCCTGATCGATTGTCATTCACTCACTTACTATTCTATCTGAAGATCTTACGCAAAGAGAAATTATTAATCAATAAATTCCGCTGAAAATTCTGTACATTATATCAACATTGTTTAGAATAAAGCCAATATTAGTACTACTATTTGAAGTTTCAGTGGTTGTATAGTGTTGTTTTTACGAAGTGATGTTTGTAGACTCATGCCAGACCACGAAACATTACCGGTGAAGTAGACGTTGCATAGCAAGGGACAACCAGTTCCACTGCTTAAAGTTTCCCGCAGTTTCCTGCAGGTGTAGACATCTTGTCAACAAAATCCTGCTTAGTTACAGGTCGGTCGGTTTTCGACATAGAACTTTGCACATATGTGCGGCTGCTCAAGTCGCCACACTCCATGTAGCACGCAAAACAAATGAAGAAAGTAGAAGAAATGCATAATATAAACAGTAAACAGAGGTGTGAGACGAAGGAATAGTAATAACGGAAAACAAAACAGTTTAATTGGAAATCATAAGTCACAAGGAGTGGATGCATCTGCGCCACTGAGAACGATTTTGAGCTTAGTTACAGGATTTCATCATGAGCTAACATCGTTTAGAGAACCATTGGAAAACCTGGAAGTACGGGACAGCCGTTTCGTCCTCGTGTGGGACTCGTCATCAGTATGCAACCACCAAAGGGGTTCGAACTCAGCACTTTCTGGTTACAAAGCTAGTGAGTTCGTAGACCACTAGGCCACTGAGACCCGATCCAATGGTCCATGAATTCCAACCTCAGCCAAGCCACGACATAGCGCGACCACTAACTAATGTCTTCGGAGAGTATTTTTCCTCACACCCCACCTGTTACTTAAATTCTGCGTAAATTCTTTATCTAATTTGTTTCGTATGTTTTTGTGAAGTAATGTAAATTCTGTGGTAGAGGGTTAACTGGTTTTCTCTCCACATCGTCATTTCAAACGATGGTTCTGTTGGCATCTCTACTTACATTAAAGAAAACAAACTTACTACACTTAGGGAACCATGAAGACGACGAGAGAAAAACGCATATATAACCGTATGAAAAAAGAGCACGGGTAAAGTAGTAAACTGGAAATTTCAAAAATATTTACTACTTCTACTGCTATTCAGTAGTAAAAGAAAGAAAAGAGCTGTAGCGAGCAGGGATTTCGATTTTGAACACTATCTGATAACCATTCTAGGTCATGAAATTTTTCAAATATCAGACCGCCCCCCCCACACACACACCCAACAGATGAAGTTATGATGCACAAAGAAAGTGGTAATTCAAAAGCAACTATCCTTCATATTATAGTTTCATAACAATAGACCTGACAGGAGTATTTTGCTTTTTCTAGCTAGTTAAAAGGTTGGGATGATATTGAACCGACATTATCTGTAACACTTGTCCACAGGACTAAAGAGACAGAGTATCACAGAATTATACTGTTACTTCTTCTTGAGCATTAACAGTCATTTTGTTCAAACATATGCCGTCTGAACTCAAAATTACTTGCATGATAGATAGTGCCACTGAAGGCAAACATTCCTATAGGAGACAAATAATCTGCAACACCACAGATGAGACAAACATTCATGTAGGTAGATTTAGGGATTTTCACATGTGATACAACAAAAGGATAGAATGCTGTGATATAATATTATTCAATGAATGTCACTTATGTGTTGAAGAGGCTTAAAGGAAGCTTTATTTTAAACGAAAAATAACCAGTAGAGCGTCAGCTGAGAAATACTCACAAGATAAGTATTACAATAACGCCAGCATGATAGATTTTTGTGGCGATGTAGAATTCATTCAAAGCAGACAAATAAGTCTGGATAGAGTTTATCTTGAAAAATGTGATGTTGTATTTGCGTAATACACGTGACCTTCTACAGTTTTTTTCTTTTTTCTTCTTTTTTTTCATATACTGAATTGACAACCAAATGTGTGATTACATTGGGTGAAGTCTACTGCGCAGATATATTTTTTTCAGATAAACTTCCTCTTTTAATAAAGATATTCGAATTTATTAGGCAGACTAATTGCTTTAAATTTTAGAAATGTAAGTGTCTACGCGAGGACACCAAACATGATGCAATAGATGCATTCAACGCGACCGATAGCTGTTGCCTTGTTGAAGTGGTAGGGCTCGCACATATTTCGCAATGACCCAACAAGCTACACTGACTGAAAAGAATGTCGTTGCAAGTCCGATCAGGCTAGAAACGTTCTCTGGAAAGCGGTCAGACTAAATGCAGTTACCAGTATAGTGTAAGTCTCTTGCACTAAGTTGGGTGTCTGACAGTGAATTCATAAAGCTGGCAAGGTACTTCCTTCAGGCGACTAGCAAGCAAGCAAGGTATACTATCTATCCGATTTCGAAAGGGAGAGCTAGAAGTCATCAAAAAATAATTGTACACACTGACTGACCCTACGATGACAATAAGGTGTTCATAAAAGCATAACGCCAAAAACCACTTCATTTTCAGAAGGATTCCAGGTTGGAGTCATCTAATCGAGGCTACAGTTTAAGGTGCAGTTCATAGCTGGTAGAATGCTAACTAACGATTTACTACCAATCGTTACATATGTTATCCTTGAAAAGTAAAAAGAACTGGCATGCGTGGGCATAAATACACGTATAATGCGAGTGTGTTGAAATCAGCTGAAGTATGCACTGATAAATACTCCTTGGTTTTTTTAAAGGCCCAAGTCAATAACCATAAATGGAATCAGACTAATACTTTATCTTCCCTATTACAGTTATACAAATACCTCCAATATCCGTCCAACTACTTACCTGTAAGTGAGGCCATGCAGCTTCTAAAGTTGGCTCATCCTCTTCAGGATCAAATTCTGCACCAGATGGATTACTCGGTGGTGGTAGAGTACGAAAGAGATTTGCTTCTACCATACGCACCACTTCTGGATAGATAGAGTCCGTAATTATACCAGAATTCTCAGTTAGGTATTCAGTTAATTCATGTAATGCTGCTCTTTTCACCTCCTTGTCTTTGAGATCACTCAATAAATCAGGGGCAAATTCAAACACTACTGAACACTGTTTCAATTTTTGAATGAAAAGGTCTTCACGGTTCTCCTGACTGTCAGCATCTAGTAAACGAAAAAAGCATAAGACTTTAAGACAGTTATTCAACATAACACAGTGCACCCAAGAAACTAAACGCCTTAAAGACTGCATGGATTTATCAATTCATACTACGGATGAAGTAGATGCGGTTCACTGAGGATACCGCATAGATTAAAGCAAAACAATATCAAAACTATAAACGTCAAGCCAAAGCTATAGTCACTTAATAATAATAACAGCTTTATTCCATCTAATTATTACAATTACAGAGGTGATAATTTATAATAGGGCATTTACACTGATAATACTGTTTAATATGAATATAAAATCTAAGTGGAAATATTAACAATAATAAACTAATGACAAAATGAATAAAAAGTGCTGTTTACTTAGCGTTTCTCAGGAAATTAGTAGTGTAATGCCTAACACCTTTCTCATCACAAATAAGGTATTGTAGAGATTTCATACTTAGTCGTCCTAGCATAAAATCGTCTATAGCTGCTTCTAGTTCCACCTGATGAGACAAATACAAGGAGAGAGTTGAGTGTAGAGAGGATGCTTAGGGTCTAACACGATAATAAATACTTACTAGTTTCTTGCAAGAGTTCATTTGTCTGTCTACAACAGTACTAACAAGTTGGTTTATTAACACCCCACCCGCCCCACTGACAGCTTTTTAGTGACCTTAGTAGTCAACCTACCTTCCGAAGTATTACTGAAGCACATGAGGATGGTAGAAATCAAGAGTGCGTCGGCAGCATAGCGGTTAGGACGCTAGCCGACCATGCATATGATCCGGGGTTCGATCCCCGGCCAGCGCACTCCTTTACCTCGCTAAGTCAATAATGAGACTGGTAAAGAGGGAAGGTTGATCACGAGGCTAGCAACCTCATTCCGTAAAAATAAACACCACTACTACAGTGGGAACGTGAAGCAATAAAAAATAAAAAAAATAGAAATCAAGAGTTGAGTCTTCAGAAACGTAGATCAGTCAGTAGAGTAGACTGCCAGATTCCTCAACAGTATATCTACCCACCATCCACTTCAACATGTGTTACCAGACGTGCAGTTGTGCAAATCTACAAAGCCACTACTAACTATCGCTCAGAGTTGCTTAGGTTATCTTGACTAGGGTTCATGTAACCACGGGAACATGGTGAGAGACTTTAAGTAATGTGGTTCAAAATCCATCATTGTGATGTCTAGATGGAGATGCGGATTCACTGCAAAATCAAATTCACTTATTTCCTTTATTATTTCCCTTGTTTTTATCAATATCCTACGACTCTGTATCGTTTCCACTTCCCTACCTTTAACTTGATTTGTAGACTTGAGCTAAAATGCAGCAATGAGCGGTCTTATACTGTTAATGTCAATCTGTGTTTCAGTCTATGGTATATATGGATCCATACTTAATCCTTAACATAAATGCGTTTAACTATTTTAGTTTAAATCCAGAAATATACTCATTTGTTCATTAATAAATGTATTTTATTCAAAACTCAATTACCTGCAACTTATTTTTCATGTAACAGGCTATGAGCCACACTTATATCGTGTGAGTGGGAATGACAATACCCAGTTGGCTACTAGTCTCTTTTTATTTCCTTTCATTGAGTTCAGCGAGTTTCAATATGTTTCTTTTATTTATTTCATTTCTAATCCTTATCTTTTTAGTGTGATTATTACCAATGGAATTCGATAAATTATGGAACATAGACATACCAATATCCAACAATCGTCCTATTTCTTGACCTGTAAGCGGAATTCTATTTCGTCAACCGAAAAGTACTGTGTCGATGTTTAGCTGTGAATCGAATGCCGAGGAAATACATAGCATTGATCAGAGCAATCTACTCGAACTGATGCAGTCAGCCAGGTGAGAGCCCAAGGAGAGTTGTCACCTGACAACTATGGTGATAAGCAGTGGTGTCCGTCAGGGATGCCAATTGTCCCCATTTATGTTTAATTTAATCACAAGTGTACTACTAATGGACTTAACCCTGACTGCTAACTTTGGCGACTAATGGATTGACTTGTTACCACCAGGGAATAATCTCGTTGACTTAGAATATGCGGATGACATAGTCCTTCCGCCAAAGGTGAAGATGCTAACGAAATGCTGAGTCTTCTGAACACATTGAGGAGCAGCAGTTTTCAAATGTTTAGCGTGTGATTCGCTCCTGTCGAATATAAGATGATGGTACACGACTGGACTTCATCGAGTCATTTCTAGCCTAAAGATAGGCAGGAGTGAAGTGGTTGCTAAGCGTGTTGATCACTTCATTTATTTCGGTGGGAAGTTGCATCATCTGGCCCGAGAGGGTTGATCGCTGACGAAATCTCAGCTTAGATACAGAATCATCGTTTGGCACTTACCAGCTAACGCCATCTCTGGCTTAGTAGGCGTGATATCCGGCCAGCTAGTTATCGACCAAAGGACTTGTGCATTGCACAGCAGCAGTTCGCCCCGTCCTCCTTTGTAACTGGCTGTGAACGCGACATAGCCACTCAGGGTGGAAGACATGAAAAAGTCGGCCGGCTAGCTTTCTTTCGTCATAGGCGTGTATGCTCCACCTCCCATGTTAGGTGGTATGAGTAACCGGTTGAGTAGTATTGAGATTAGACTTAGTTTGAGTGTTAGGTAAAGAGGGAAAATGGCTTCCATCACACGGTGCCACCTTTCCGCTTTCTCCATCCAGTCCCACGGTTCGTGGGCAGCGAGCGGTATGAAAGCCATTGGGATGACAATCGTAGCATATATCAAAGTTACCAAAGCTGCTGCTTTAGGATGACCACACAACGAATTGTAACCTACAACGTATCCAAACATAAGCTGTCGAACTCAGAATTACTTTCATAGTGATGCTATCGGACGCGAGCATTTCTACGGAGCCAGCAACGATAGAGCACGTACAGTCACTGTACATCAGCTCAGAGAGACGAAGTTTAACAAGCACAGAGCAAGACCACGCGCCGAAGCCCTCTAAACCCGACGTGTACCAACCCTGGCTTTACTACATGATTACTGACTACATCCGTTACACCTTCGCCAGCACTCACTCTACCTAGATATACAGACTGCTACAATACACGAGCTATCCAAATCTCATATGATCAGTTGGTGTATATCGTATGTAATTCACGAAAAATACCATCCGGACATGGAAATAACAACAAACTGTTGAGCTAATTCATTTGCCGAAAAAAAGGACTTTTCGTTGAGCAGTTTGTTCTTGTTTTATTGTATGTAAGTCTGTTATGTGCTTTGCACGGTCCTTATGCAAAATACTGTTGCATAGTTCGGCATAAGATTGTGTGTAAACTCAAGTGAACCAATAGAGGCCTTAGTCTTATCAGTCCTGGCAACGAAAATAAAATCCTCAACTTTATAATGAACACCCTGCTGGCATACTCCCAAGTGAGTTTTATCTAGAGTCACTACAATGTTCACTTGGCCACTGAAGGGTTGCTAGACTCAATACAGCACACAAACGTAGAGAAAAAGATATGTCAGAGGACCTATATCGAGAAGAAATATACTGAAGAAAAAATAGTAACATGGAAAAACATGAAGAATGAAAGCATCCAGGAGATTACAAAGAGTGAGTGCATATGCACCGTTGAGAAAGACTTTGAGCTATATCATAAACAGTTTCAAGTCATCGCTTCTTAGTGTATCGACGATTCTGACTGGGCGGTGTACACCTCCTTACTTAGCTCAAACTAACAACCAAAGACTTCATGAACTGATGTCAGGTTTTGATTTGACTACAGTTAACTCTTTTCTAACTAAATCTTATGTCAGCTAACACTGATCGATGAGAAAAACGGTGTCTTTACATGAGTAGCACATCTTAATGTAGTTTCAGTCTCATCGATTGACTTGCCTTCCTTATCTAACACTCTACTCAATATTATCAACCATATTATACCACATAACACGGGGACAAAGCTAGTTTTTTCATATCTTACAATTCTAATAGCTGTCTTACAGTCATAAAGGGTGGAGAGAACTGCTGAGCAGTACACACATACTTTCGTCGATAGCCAGATATCATGTCTACAATACGTAAGTTGACGAATCCCACACAAGTCTATTGTATCCATAGTGAGATGTTATCAATAGTCAGTCCAATAGGGTTGATAGAATTAGTCAAATAAACGAAATGGTTAACGCTCTCAACCATTTAACTCTTTAGACGAGCAATTGATGGAGACCAATCCCGCAGCACCACCTTAAATTTGACAGGAGTAAATCGTGTGCCAAACACACACCCAGATTTCTACTCAAAATGTTCTTCAGAAGACCATTTTGTCATCATGAGTGATCATTGCTATTCTCGTTGAAATGTTGCTTGTTATTGGGAGCACATTTCTCATGTGTATGGCTACGACACATATACATATTGTGAGGATTCACGATAATACCTACTCGCCCAAGTTAAAACAAGTGGCGAGAAACTTAAACCCAAGACCAACTAGGTATTTACACTTGCCCACTTGCCTCAACCCTAGACTAAACCGGAAACATATGGATCTTTAATTTAACGTTCTCCCTGTTTATCTATTCCAGTATCATAAAAGAACATAAAAGTAATAAGATGTAGTAAAATTAAGACGAACAAGAACATACGGAGACAAGAATAATTAAATGATTAATGAAGATTTTTGGAAACCTGAAAAGGGTTATGAGTAAATACATCTACGCCTTTGTGAAACATTTAAGACTATCTTAACAGGTCTCGCCAATCGTCAACACCTATTATCATGTGACCACGGGCCGTCTACACCTCTCCAAATGGAAGTTCGCAGGGACATCTTTAACCGAAAATTCCAAGAAGTAATTCTACCCAACGAATCTAGGGCAGACTTAATATCAAGAAATATAGTGAGTGTCAACTTGCCAAATATCTGTCAGTCCTCGCAGTCAGTGGAGCATCAAGACATGAACGATGCATCTACAATCTGAACTAAGCCCAGTTTGGTCAAAACAAAACAATATTTCGCATGCTTTCCAGAGTCTGTGAAACACAACAATTGTCAATACTTCTGACACAGATGGTATTACGTAGACCCTGCTAAGATTCGCACTATGACAAATTAGTTACACAGTGATTGAAAACTAAAACCCCCATGCCTTCAGTAAACACGTATCGCGCATTGCTGCATGGAACACTCCCTGATACCGCAGATCACACGATGAGGTTTTCTTATTAACGCTGATGAGACTTTACATGAATACGGCGGTCGACGTACCTGATTCTTATACTGCTTATCTTTAGACCAAGAGACAACTGAAGCTATGTTCATAACCAGGATAACATTCAAGTTTTCCCACTAGGAAACAGAGTTACAAGTGACAACTGCTCGACGTCTTTTGTCAAATGATTGTTTCCGGAAATTTTCCTATGCTATTGAATGAAACGGGAAGAAACCATAGTGAGGTGTAGGCTATGCATTCAGTCAACTAGGCATCAGAACTAAGGAAGATATTTTGCCACGAACATTCATTAGAGCGATAAAATTCATGCCACTAGAACAACTCATAGGACATATTAAAATATGTGTAAAACTTGGGCACTGCGGTAGTAAGTAATTCCATATTAGTTTGTTTATTAGGTATATCACACAGTGAAACAGTATTATTTACTGGATACAGTAAATAATACTGTTTCACTGTGTGATATACCTAATAAACAAACTAATATGGAACTCATAGGACACCTTCGACCACAAAAGATTTGGAATAAGGTAAAGTAAAATGATTCACAACAAATCACTCGAGCTTATAAACATCATCTGCAATATATTAACTCGTCAGTCTAGCAGACCGGATTCAGCTCACCACCACCATGAGAACCAACTTGGACTACAGACTAATCCACAATCTTCAAATTCTCAGTGCAACAACATGGAGTGGGAAAGAAGCACTAAACTATCTTACAAAAAATTTGGCCGAATAGTCAAACTGCTAGTGTGTGTCATAAAAACTCGCGCAAACTAAATTACACATACCTTTAATCAATGGGAGTGGATTTAGCTCACGGCTTTTGGGAGCACCGAAACGAGAAGAGGTCTGGAGTTTTTCCTTTCTAACAACTGAAGGACCAGCTAAGGAATTCAGCTTAATAAGCTGCGTAGGAGGGGGGTGGGCCTCTCCATGAAGGCTTCCATGATGACGAGGAGTCTCAGAGGTCGAAGCATTATTTTGACCTGAACTTTCCGATGCCACGATTGGAGTTGGTGAGGAATTCATTTGATTTGATACCATCACAGAATTTCCAGATGCCATAAGATTTTAAGAGGAGTATTTTATAACAATCAAAATAACCAATAATGCCTGCGAAATGATTTACAAACATGCGGATTTATTGCTGAAAACAAAAAGCCCGCAAAGTCCAATATTCATTTTGCGCGCACTATCCTAAACTAACAAAACAGAACCATGAAATAATTACTATGAAATCTCAGTTCTCTGAAAAATACTTACTTCGGGCCTCAATAAAAATAAAAGCTGATTCAATGTTTGAGGTGAAAATTTTCGACGAATAGGAACACAGAGTTAGGTGTAGGTCACAAACTCGAATACTGTTTTCTGAACAATATATAACTTGTTCAGTTATCTTATTTATTTCGTGCAAAACAACTAAGTCCAATCTGGCCATCCCTCAGATACGCAATGAAAACAGTCGAATCAGATTTGGATCGGCTTGGGATATTTAAGGAAATGTCCTATCACACCATTCGGGATCCATATGACAAGCCAAACAGTCGTAGTACACGTTCCGCTTTCAAGGGTAAACAAATGTATTGCAGTGGATCGAAGGAAAGATCAGCAACAGCTGATGGTTATTTTGGACCTTTCACTAGGATTTATAATGGAGATAGCAAAATCGATCTCGGGAGGCTAATGCGTTTACAAAGAATAGAAAGTGCAAAGAAAATCAAAGGTAAAGACTGGATTCCACCAAGTGGTTCACATAGTTTGCATGGCCTTGGCAGCACCCTAGACACTTTTAGTGGACCTGTACCTTATATGAAACCAACAGTGATAACAAAACATATAAAGTTAGATCATCGCCGAAATTTTTATACCTCTCCTGCAAAGAAAGGCTGTGGTTCATACATAGATATCACGATTGGAAAATACCCGAAATACAAAAGTGACGCTTATGATAAGCGTCCGAAAACAAACAAGTCCCAAAGCTCAACATCTGACAAAGTTTTTTACCTCAACCTTCATCCTGTAGACTACTTTGATCGAAACCCCTACCGACACGTTACCATAAGACGAAGCCATCCCAGAAAAACACAGAGTAAACCTTCCTTTCAGAAAACTGTCTTCAAACCATCGAGCGGCCCTAAATCTCCAGGTGGATGTAAAGATGGCTGTTTCAGCCCTTTTCCAAGTTATACATCCAACAGACAAAGAAAATCTGCCCAGCTCAAATCTGCTATACCGATTCTTAAAATACCAGGTTGCCCAAAGACATATCCTATTAGTTCAATATTGGAAGTTAATATCAAACGTCGTATAAACTCTTCAAACTACAAAAACATAAGGACTTCTATCTTTGACACCTAGACGAACGCGTCAGAATATCCACAATGTAAGTTTTGAATATTTATTCCTGCCTTTGATATACATATCTTAAGTGCGTCAGAATTTATAAAAATTATTTTAAAAAATTCTGCTGCCATTTGATCAGGAGCTTTATTTAACAACCACTATGTCTCATTAGGCGAGGATTTAACTAGTTATAGGCCAAGAAGATATCCACTAATTATCATAACTTTGTGCTTTTGTATCAACTTTTTTTATATTTTTGATCTACAGCTTCATGCCACACCGTATTTACAGTATAAGTATGGAATTTTCAGCATGAATATCGGTAGCCCAAATTTGCAGGCCGACCATAGATATCGGGTGTGATTCGTTATTAAACACCCTAGAACATCTCAGAACGTAGCTGAAACAGTTTACATTGCCTATTTACGTACTCATTTGCTTACGTTTTTACTAGTATGCTGTTTACAGCTAGTATGTGTTGCCGGAACTCAAGGATAACATAAACCGTCTTAGTCTATTTTTATTGTTATTACTTATTTTATTTTTGTAGGTACCTAATGGAATGTAGAGCTTGGAAATTTCGGTAGCAAAGGTGTTTATTTTCACTGGCTTGGCAAGGTTCAGGAGTACGTCAGCAGGGAGTCAAACGCCGAACCACATGCGTGGCTGGCGAACATTCTACCACCCTACAATTGACACACGTCACACTATATGGCTGACCGTAAATCTAATAAGAACTTCAAGAGTGATATAGCCACTTCCTAAACAGCACTCCAAAAACCATGAGTGTAAGCGCCATTCCCCTACCAGTCACACTTTATACTGTCACGTTTTCCTGCATCGGAAACCAAGGTTTTAGTTGTCACGGAAACTAATGTGTACACTCACTCAACTCTGTATTACTAAAATTGACTCTTAACAAATTGTTATAAGTTTCAGAACGACAACGAACGTAACGCAGGACTGCTGTAGAACCACTCATGGCGCAGTAGTGGGTCAAAGATAAATATTTCTAGGAGATGAAGGATGCTGACATTGATGAAAGTAACGCTTTATACAAACTCAAGCTCTTCTCCTGCAACTCCATTAGTACTTGTCCTGCTTTGACCACAGACAGTATAAAAATACCAAAATGATATTGCAAAATATTATATATATACGTTGGTATTAGGACCATAGTTTGACGATAACTGATTAGGTAGTTAGCAACCGTGCTGGAATGACCGGATGTAACACGACAGCATGCCCAATGGCGTGGATGCTTCATGGCGAAGAGTGGCTTTATTGCATATCCCTGATAACTGCAGACTTGTAGTCCACTGCTATGGTGGTTTAATGACAAGTCATGCTTTCCAAATGAAATTTCGCATTTGAAATTTTTTCTGGTGCACATATCGGTGGCATTATATAACTGAGCCTGTGATTCTCCGGCAGCCTCGCTTATGATAGTTTTTCAGTTACAGTGAGTGGGAAGACTGTCTACACTTTCCAATATTATTACCGCCTCAGTCCGCCGACATATTGAAGATTTTCGGTCGAATATTCGGTCGGTTTTTATGCAATATGTTTCTCTACATTGTTACAATTTTAATTGACCGTTCAGATTCCTTCAGCAGTGGTAGATTTTTTAAGCCGAAGTGACTAGATGTTCAGATCTACCTCAACGCCCTGTCTTTTATACAGACTTTCACCCACTTGAAAGAATTCACCAACTACACTTCACTAACAACCTATCTTCATAATAATACTTCAGTGCCCTTAAAATGGTTCCAGACTGCGTAGATGGACTGCTTACATTTTTCGGACAAGGATTAGATCCCTTAAAAGACTGAGGATGTTGATGAATACGCAAAATAGAATTCTATAATTGTCTAAGAAACTAGTTAGTCGGGTTGTTTGAATGACTTCGAGCTCATTCCCGATCAGCTTTAACTACAAATAAGTCTCATGATTGCTGTATGGTCACCTATCCTAAGCCTCGGCAACACTACCCGCTGACTCTTTGGCCTGGCCCACCTAACCCAGTGGGCAGTCTGCTGTCAACACTGCCCCAATTAGAGAAGAGAGAATTTAACCCTTATAAGTTTTAAAGGATGTATTTATTAACGATGGGATGAAGAGATATAAAGAGATATACAGTCACACCACAGCTCACATCTGCGCTCTTGAACCTTGGAAACCCATTGTCCGCAATCTGATTCAGTCAGCACAGATAAATAAATTAACCGCTGAAAGCGAAATGGCTGAGATTCGATTGAATGGAAAAACTTTTATACCCCCTACAAGTTTGCATATATATTCTCCAACCTTCAATGCACTTATTCTGCGGAGACTAGTGAACTATTAGAAAAAAGAAAAGGTGAACAATTATTTAGTTCTCGGAAATAAGAAAGATATTTTGGGATCGAAAATGTAGGGTAGTAACGTGCACTTAGCTAACTGCAGATCATTCACGAACAACTGAACGTAACACAACAGCTTGGCAAGTGATTTGGATGGCCCACCGTGTACCCTCAGCTTAACAATTCGACTTATAGACTGAAGTTCAGCACTCAATGTGAAATGATGAATGCCACAGACTAATAATTTTGGAGAATTATTTACTGTTACAATCTGTTAATAAATATCCAACTTCTTGTTTCATTTGTAGTAAACAAATCCGAAAATATCTGAATCAGTTATTAATTATAATTGTATTTCATCACTTGTCAACACATAGTGATTAGTGTAACTGATCCCAAAGTTTATAGATAGATAGATAGATAGTCAATTAAGAATTAGTTGTGAAGATTGTTACATCGATTAAAAATGAAGCAGACCAATATCTTAAAACAAATATTAAGATATATGGATCTACGGAAGCTTTTCCAGTTGAAATATGGCTGCACTAAGGGGCTATTCTTAAAAGTGTGATTTCACAGCCTTATATAATAGGGAGATAATAAATATTTCCCCTATTAAAATCGTCCTCCCCTATCCTGCTGTTGGCTTCAAGCAAACTTTATTTCTGAATGCAATTGAAATTGGTTGTGATTTAAAGTAAAACCCCAAACTACAGCAGTGGAAACATTTAAACAATCAAATATCAGCTAGGAAATGTACTTAGAAACCCCATCAACAGACAGTTGTCCCATAGAAATATCTTCCTTGCATCTTTCAAATTTACAACGAAAATTTGGCCTCCAGGTGTTACTTAAAAGCAGTTCGCGGTACATTCAGATACTAATATTTATGTGGAAATGGGTTCTATGTTGTTTTTAATTTAATTTAAAACAACCTGGTGTAAAATGAATACATTTAACTCTGCTAACACGTAGTTCATATTCAGCTTAAACGATTGAGATTAGAGAGTTATGAATGATCTTCCTATTTCGGTGCTTTTTAAGTATTCTACTCTCAGTATATTCCTAAATTAGTGTCAGTTAAAAAATGAAACTGAGGTCAATATATCAAAACTTAACAGAATGTACTACCCCTTCACTCAAGCAATTACACTAAATTCCGGCTTTCTGAACTGGGCTAATCTAAATACACTGTTGGTCAGCGCAACCCTAAACAAGAGAAATGGCTGTATGGTGATGTTTAGATCATGTTATGATCTGGCTGGCAAATAATGTCACTTGACATGATTGGTCTCGAACTACTCATATCAATCAGCAGAATATACAGTAGTGTCAAAGTTTAAAAGGTCGGCATCAAGTGATTTCATCTTGATTGACATTTTATTTCCATCAACGGTGGTATGTGAGAAAACACTATGATCGTTTCTTTTCAAATAACTTCTTGAGTACGTTTAAATTTAACATGAGTGAAATTGTTTTGCTTTCAGCAAGCTATACGTAACTTTTCGTGAT